CTCTCTCTCTCTCTCTCTCTCTCTCTCTCTCTCTCTCTCGCTCCCCCCTCTCTCTCGCTCCCCCCTCTCTCTCTTCCCCCCCTCTCTCTCTCCCTCTCTCCCTCCCTCCCCGACCCTACTATCTCTGAGTGCTTATCTGTGTCTTGTGAGTATGAACATCTGTGTGGCAATACTTTGCTTGGTGAATGTAATTTTTCTTTCGCCAATTTAATTTAATACTTACATTAATATTTACTGATATTCTGCAGCTGGAGGGTGGTTGGCATCACTCTGTGTAGCAGGTTTTACAGCTATAACAGTGAGAAAAATTGTGAAAACTGAAATGAGAGATGCTGAGCCTATGGCAAAATCGTCTCCCTTTTCACCTTTAGAATTGTGGATTTGGAGTGGGATCTTCCTTATTTCATTCGTTTCTGCATTATTTTACCCAACAGCTCTGGGAACAAGTGCTCGAACATGTCTCCCATTTCTTCTTGCATCTACTGTGTTGGGCTACATTATTGGTTCTTGGTAAAATTTAATCTTCTTTGGTTAAGAAAAATTATATTTGGCCTTCCTTCTCAATTGAATAAAAATTATAATAGGCACTTCTTTTGATCTTTTGTTTGGGTTTTCAGGTTGCCATCTGATGCGAAGAAAGTCTTCCACCCAATTATTTGCTGTGCACTATCTGCAGATCTTGCTGCCTTTTCCTTTGGGTACCTATCTCGATGTGGACTTGACCCTGTTCTAGGTAATACTGGAAGATGAATTGATGGCTTTAAAATGGTTATGCCAGAAGCATAACTGAAGCAAATAAGAATCTTCAGTCTTGTATATTTGTACAGATAAAAATAATTATTGAACCATGAATGATAATTTTCTCTATCCCGCTTTTGCTGACAACATTTATTGCATAAACTTTGAAATTCCCACCACAATAAACTTTATCAAAAATATAATCTGACGGTTAAACCACTTGGTGATCAACTTTGTGGAAAGTGTACCAAGATTTTTGAGAATACTAATTATGTAGATTATGTCTAGGAAGCACAGTAAATGTACAAGAAAATGCAGCATGTATGGACATGATACAAAATATGTAAATATTGTTTTGTCACGATTGAGCATGATATTTATACAATGATCTATTGATTTACAGGAAACATGGATATTTTCAAACAGAAAATATCCATGGACCACAAATTCTCTTGCATTTTAGACTTCCTCTTTTGCAACCGAGTTGCAAAGAGCTAATATGCAACAGAACTATTGCTCAGTGATCTTTCACTATTTACTTAATTGAAAGAATATATGAGATTTTGTGGGAAATAGATGTAGTTCACATAGGATACCCTCTCTCCCTTCCAGTGTCCTTCTGTCCCTATCTCTCTGACTCTCTCCTCCCTTCCAAACACCCTGACATTTCACGTCAATATCCTTTTTTCCTCTTTACTGCAACTGCATAAAAATTCACTGGTACATCTTTAGTAGATATGTTTTCATTCATACCAAGCAGAAGATCTGTTTTTGATGTGCACAGGATACTACCTTACGAAGGTGCCATCAAATCCTGGAGCTGGTGATGTTCTAATGGGTTTTTTGGGGTCTGTTATTCTCTCATTTGCCTTTGCAATGTTCAAACAGAGAAAGGTAATGAATCTAATAATTATCAATTCTTCATTGGATTAAATGAATGTTTCTCCACATTGTTTTTAGTTTAAGTAGGTCACTTTTAATGTATATTGCTTGTAAAGGAAGACATAGTTCACTGGACTGCCTACATGAAAATTTCTATATTTCTATTGCCACCTAATCATCCAAGTAGTGTTGGATGTAAATTGTCAATTAGAGAGAAATATCATTGCAGTTTTGCTTCCTTAATGAGAGAATTTAGATAATTACTCTCCACATATATAGTAAGGAGAAATAGGACAGTGAGGAACTAGATAGTTGTAGACGAAGTATATGGTGTATGATTTAATAAATAAATAAATAAGTATATGGTGACTAACCTCCATGGTTCTTGCCCTTAACTACTATGTTTTTATTTGCTAAACAACCCTTGTCATTGTTGCTTTTTCAGCTTGTTAAGAGACATGCTGCTGAAATTTTCACATCTGTAATAGTCTCAACATTTTTCTCGTTGTATTCAACTGCTCTTATTGGACGGCTTGTTGGATTGGAACCAACTTTAACTATATCAATTATTCCAAGATGTATAACAGTGGCATTAGCCCTCAGTATCGTTTCTTTGTTCGAAGGTACTATAACATACAAATTCTATAGTTCAGGCACTCTGTTTGCTAATTAGTGGATATGTGTTAAAGTCTATTAGTATATCTTCAGGAGTTGATTTTCTTTTCCCCTGTTGTTGTAGGTGCCAATTCATCTCTCACAGCTGCTGTTGTCGTGGTAACTGGTTTGATTGGAGCGAATTTTGTTCAAACAATGCTTGATAAATTAAAATTTCGTGATCCTATTGCTCGAGGAATAGCAACTGCTTCTAGGTATGTGCTTCTGCAGTCAATGAAATTATAAAGAACTCAGACCATTAACTTCTATCTGAATGAGTACTCAAATAGCAAGCCTGTCAAAAATATTGTTATGGAGATTACAATGTAAAAACAAGCCTGTCATAAATTGATAGCTAGTGTCTTTAGACGAATGACTAAAAGTTGAGATGAGGTAAAAGCTCAAAGTCTGAAGCATGATATGTACAAAAAATCTCTGTAGGCCGATGTTTTATGGTGAATAAGGAAGGATACTTGTCTCCTGAGTAAAAAAAGACAAACAGGCAAGAAAAAAAGAGATGCTAATGTACCTGTGCCTGGTTGTGTTTGAACAGATGAATGGGTGCCCTGAAATTTAATTGCAAAACATTGTTGTTTATTCTGAAAACGTGATTATTCCAGAAGCTGGAAGAACAGAACTTTTCTCTGGTGCTGTTATCTATGATAACATGGTACTGTAGCATAATATGTTCGTGTATATAAAAGAAAAAGCTTTTCAGTACTGAGAAAAAGAGCATTCTACCTTAGCACTGGGTAACATCGATTAATAGAAGTATTGATTAAAAGCATATTTTCCATATTATTGTCATTTGTTTGAAAAGGCTTGGACGCCCCGTAATCAGGTTGAATAGATTTTACATTTTGGATTATCATCATATGCATGCGTTTCAATGGCTAGGCATTTAACTAGTGAGAATAAAACATTAAAAAGTGCTCTTACTCAATTGCATGTTCAACAAATTAGAGACTTTAGTGAGTGGATTCATCAAATTGCAGCATCATAATGAACTAAGATATTTGATACCTGGATGATAAATTTGTAATACTGATGATCTATTGTTTATTTATGTTTATTACTGTCACAGTGCACATGGATTGGGAACAGCAGCTCTGTCAGCTAAAGAACCAGAGGCTCTTCCATTCTGTGCCATTGCTTATGCTCTCACTGGTATAATTGGCTCCTTGATTTGCTCTGTCCCAGCAGTAAGGCATAGCTTGCTTGCAATAGTAGGCTGAAACTGTCAGCAGCAAAATCCCCTAAACATTTGTATTAGATAGGACTCGTCCTCCCCATGAGATTGTCAGCTGCTTAGAGAGCAAGCAATCTCTTGAATTGACAGCTGCTAAATTTTCTAAATACATTATATCGTGGAAGAAGCTGTGAATAGACTCAGTGTTGAAATTAGCAGACTGTGCACATTGCACCCTCCTAATTATTTGTTTTTTTAATTCCACATGTTTATTTATATATTTTAAGAAATATTAACCTATGTACAACGCCCTGGCTTAATTTTACTATTAATGTACCTGTTCATCAAGATATTTTCAGAAATCTCACCAGATTTCAGAAATCTCCTAGAGGGAAATTTCGCTGCTCTGTTGGTTTTAAGGCTTTATGCAAAGAGATTATTTGGTCTTTGATGTTGTTGGGTAGAGTGGCTCTCTTACTAAATCTCTATTTATCTAAATGATAAAAATAACATAAAGCAAATGAATCTTGCAATATCTAATGATAAGCGAATTCATAAATTTACGAAATCGTTTAAGTAATAAAGTAATAAGTAGAGTATCATTATATAAGAATTGTATATCAAATATCAAAATTGTAGAAATTATATTATTATATAGAAATCAAAATTAAATTTATAAAAGAAAAAATTAAAATAATTTAATCAAAACAAAATAATTAAATTTATAAAAATTATAAATAGAAATATACCAAAATAATTGATTTCACCTTAATCTTAATTATATTCGAATTTTAATTTCGCAATCGATTTAATCTAATCTGCAACTACCAACTGTAACGACCACAAAAATTCAAAAGTAAATAGATAATAACTTAATTGTGAAAGCAAAATAAAAGGTTAAGATTTACATTTCTTATACAATAACTTAAAAGTATTAAACAGTATTATGGAATTCATTCTTTGAAAGAAACACAAGAAAAAAGGAAACAAACGGAAAATATAAAATATCTACCATCTACCTGCAATTTTCTTGCAGATCAGACTCTGAAATCTAGTTCTCTTGATCTGAAATGGTTAAATAAAGAATGAGATACACTAATCCAGTAAGGATCCCTCATCTTATTTTTTATCATAGAACTGAAGTTTAAATAAATAATAATGTGGTATTTTGTGCGATTTTAGTAAACATGCATAATTAATTATGGGTTGTTAATGGAGCCGGAACTGGAAATTATCTACTGCTATATTGTTGATTGTTTTTATAGTTTACCTGCATGATGGTATCTTATTTATTTATTTTATGGCTTGAACGCATGTATGGTTATTTTACGTGTTTACTGCTGAATCGGGAAAAATGAAGTTTAAACGATAAAGAAATTGTGTGATTAAATGATTAGATGAAACGTCAGTTTTACTGTTTAACCTGAGAGATGGTGAACAGACCGGGTACATAAGGAACTCTACCGTGAACGTTATCTCATACTGGACGAAATATGAAAACTTGATAATTTGGTGCTCATATCAGACGAGGTATGGGGGCAGTCCGCTTCACCCTCATACCGGACGGAGTATTGAAGTTTTGTAAATTGGCACTTGTCGAATTATCCTGATGTATTTTTAGTTTTTCTTTCAGTATTCTCTAAGTCTATCAATTAATAATTACTATAAAAGATTTGTAATTATTAATTTGATTTTTAATTAAATATGTGATACTTTGATTTTTCTACATCAACTCGATTATATTACTCTCATTCAAATCGCAATTAACGTTTAACAGTATTTGTCTAATTAATATTTTACTCTCGTTATTCTAAAATCATCAATCTCAAATTAAACAGTGAGTTGGTCAATTCTCACAATTAAATTAAGTTTAATGTTGTGAAATTATAATAAAATGAAAGCTAAAAATTTAACCACAAACATATATTTAATTCAGACTACATCAATCATTCGGACAAATGAAATTTAGTGAGATATAGTGGTTTAAGCAACACAAAGTATATTTGAGAACAGATTAATCATGTAATTAATTAAAAATGAATATATGAAAATCTCAAACGCAAACATTCACATTTCATCATAATATCCTAAAAATAAGTTAATTGAAAACAAAATAAATAAATTACTTGATAATTTTTCTCAACTTCTCTCTCTCTCTCCACCGCATTTGTTCTGCTATCCGCCACTTCAACTCTCTCTCCACTGCAGGGTCGCGCTCCGCTTCCCCGTCAAATCTACACCGACTCGCGTCTGCTTCCCTTTGCCTCTGTTTGCGCTTGCTACTTTTGCAGATCTAGTTTCTGCTTTCTCTCTCTAGCTCTTATCTCTCTCTCTCTTTCTGTCTCTCTCTACATATCTAATCGTTCCCCACAATCTGTTCCCTTCTTCTTCTTTAGATCTCCCTTTTTGTCGGTGGTGGGAGGTAGGGTTTTATTGCTCATGCCTCCTCTTTTTCCTCTTCAAGCCTCCTCTTTCCCTTCCAACCGCCTCTTCCTATTCTGCAAATTTTTTTTCCAAAATGACATTGTTTAGTATCTGGTTCCCAGACTCAAAACGACGTCGTTTTGAGTGTTGTTGGACTTGAAGCTTCACTAATTACTTATTGTAAAAATCTTAGTCACGATAAAATCACAATTCCATAAAAAAAGAAAATGGTTAGACTCAATGCAAAAAAATTGGGTTCAAAACAAATGAAGTTGCATTTTTGCAATTTAAAGCTCTAAAGACTCAATATCCTCAAACTTATTTTAAACAGTGTCCTCACTATTTATGAACGTATTATGCACAATAAAATAAACCGCAAGTAGCAAAGAAAATAAATATTACCCTTGCATATGTCCATGTAACATGAACTAAAAGCAGTCACTAGAATTTTGCAATAAGGATGGTTCTACTACAAAATAAATATCATCACCATCGAAAAGCATAATAGCTGACCTTAATTAAGAATCTATAGGTGTTAGCGACACAATTATAAATTAAAAAGGAGAAGTGCAAGGAAAAAAATATAATAAATTAATTAATAAAAAAATTTAGGATTTTATCAAATAAACAAAATAAATATTAAAATAGATAAAAAAAAATTGTACTTATCTATCTAATATAATCTATATTGGGTTGTCTCTCAATCAGCGTTTTGTTTATAGTTGTTAGCTCGACTTTACAGCAAATAACTTAAGTGGAGTTAGTGTGGATCTCGTCGTTTCAAAATTCCCTTCCAAATATGGATACCTTTTTTCATTTTTTTTAAATCTTGCCTCGCCCTCTTCTTGATCATCTTCTTTATTTAATTTGGTTGCTTCCTTGACATCAAGGTCTTTTTCTATCTTGGTGAATCTTTTGGACACATACTCATTAATTATATTAATATTAAAGCATTCATTAGTGTCCAAAAGAGAAATTTGAGACATGAAAAATGTTAAAAGTTACTTGTTTGTTCCCAACTTACAATGTTAACTTATAATCCTGCACATGGATTAATGCTCTATCTGTTGCGAGGAATGTCTCCCAAATATGAGTGGAATTTCTCTATCAACTTCCACATCTAGAACTATGAAGTCGACAGGGAATATAAAGTTCTCCACCTTTACCAACACATCCTCTACTATTCTCAAATTGTATCTCACCCATCTATATGCCAATTGCAATAATACTGTTATGGGCTTCACCTTGTCAATACCTAATTTTTTAAACACATAATAAGACATTAAGTTAATACTAGCACCAAGATCACCAAGATTATTTTAAAATAAGAATTACCAACATTATATAGTATTAAAAAAACTTCTTAAATCTTTCACTTTAGACGGTAACCTATTCTGAATGATGATACTGCACTTCTCAATGAGCATAATAGTCTTGCGATATTCCAAACTCCTTTTCTTCGCTAGAATCTCCTTGAGAAATTTTACATACTTTAGCATTTAAGTAAGAGTCTCTGCAAAATGAATATTAATGTGAAGTTTTTTAAATATATCAAAAAATTTAAGGAAATTCTTGTCTTCATTATACCTTTTAAAACGTTGTAGAAATGGAACAGATAACACATAGGACTTGAGACAACTTGCTTCTTCTCCTCTTCTTGCTCCACCTTCTCTTTTTCAACCTTTTCCTCTTTGGTTCCTTCGTCTATTTTTACATCTGTCAACCATTTTCACTTCTCAAGGTGATTGTCATGACATGTTCTTTTGGATTCGTCTCGGTATTACTCGGTAAGGTACATTGAGCTCTTTTATTGATCATGTTTACCAATTGCCCCATTTGAATTTCTAAGTTTTTAATCGGCACTTATTAGTTTTGTAATATTAATTGTTGATTCTGAATGGCTGTTTCAGTTTTCGTTGCAAACTTTTTCGCGTTTTTATGAATGACTCCAACCATATCTTCAAGTGAAAACTTTTTTCCTTGAGGTTGAAATCATGGGGGAAGCTTGACTGCGTTCTGTTGATTCCTACATGACAAATTTGGATGATTTCTCATCGTAGGATTATACGTATTGAAGTATGGGTTGTGTGGTGACCTGACTTGTCCAACAACAAAGCTCATTTACTCTGCCTCATGTTTTTGAAAAAAAATTTCAAATAAACCATGCACATGAGAATTAATAACATTAACACTTTTTTCATCATTTTTCTTAAATAAATAACCAATTTTTGCATTAAGAGCAGTTAAACATCGATTTCATATAATTCCAGTATTCATTTTAGGTTGACATCTTTCTGTTGGCCATTGATAGTTGTTCATGACCATCTCTTCTAATAATTCATGAGCATCATCTGTGGACTTCCCCATTAAAGTCCTTCAATAGCTACATCGATTGTGATCTTGGTTTATTGACTCAATCCGTTGTAAAAGGTTTGAACCAACAACCACTTAGGTAAACCCATGATGATGACATCTTGTACTCAACTTCTTGAATTATCCTCATGCCTCATATAATGTCTCTCCATCCATTTAATAGAAACTGGTGATGTTGTTATCTCATCTTTGCTGTCCTAACCGGTGGAAAAAACTTGGCCAAAAAGTTTTTAACTAAGTCTTCCCATATAGTAATTATACCTACAGGAAGAGAATGCAACCAACTTTTAGCTTTATCTCTTAAAGAAAAATGAAAGAGTCTAAGTCTAATTACATAATTAAAAATACTATTTTGTTTAAAAGTATCGCAAATTTCAAAAAGAATTAGAGAGATGTGCATTAGGGCCATCATTTGAAAAACTCCTAAATTGAATTAATGTTTGGACCATTTGAATGATGGGAGGTTTGATCTCGAAGTTGTTAACATTAATACTCGGTCGAACGATGCTAGATGAAGCTCCTATAAATGAAGAAGTAGTAAAGTCCATGAGTACTCTCCTATTAT